TTTAGAAGGTCAGTCACATATTTGGACTGATTGATGAAAAATTCTTCTAAAGTTTGTTTTATTTGAAGACCAAGGAAGAAACTAAGTTCTCCCATCATACTCATCTCAAATTTGCTTTTCATCAGCTCTAAGAATTTTTCGCAAAATTTGGAGTTGGTAGAACCAAATATGATGTCGTCCACATATATTTGCACAAGTAAAATATCACCTTTGTGCTTCTTAAGAAAGATAGCTGTGTTGATGGTACCTTTTTCGAATTCATTGGCAATGAGAAAGGTAGAGAGTCTATCATACCAGGCCCTGGGTGCTTGCTTCAGCCCATAGAGGGCTTCGTCCAGAAAATAGACATAGTCTGGATGCTTTGGATTTTCGAACCCAAGGGGTTGCTACACGTATACTTCCTCTTGAAGTTTGCCATTAAGGAAGGCAGACTTTACATCCATCTCATAGACCTTGAAACCTTTGTATGCTGCATAGGAAGGAATATTTCTGATTGCTTCGAGCCTAGCAACTAGAGCGAAGGTTTCATCGTAGTCTATCCATTCTTCTTGGCAATAGCCCTTGGCAACAAGCCTGACTTTGTTCCTTACTACAATGCCATCTTCATCCTTCTTGTTTCTGAACACCCATTTGGTCCCAATGGCCATTTTCCCTTTGGGTAGAAGCATGAGGGACCATACTTTGTTCCCTTCAAACTGAAGTAGCTCCTCTTGCATGACGTCTATCCAATTTGGATCTTGTAGGGCTTCAGAAATCTTCTTTGGTTCGATCATACTTAGAAAGTTGGCGAAAATACATTCATTGGTAGCAGCAGATCTCGTCGTGACATGGGATGATGGATTACCAATGATTTGGTGATGAGGATGGTCTTTTGTCCACTTGGTGCAAGATTGAGGTTCTGGAGCAACAGGATACAGTTCTTCATCGACTGATGGAACTGTTTGCTCCCCCTCAAAGAGATCATCTATAGAGTGATGCTCTGGTTCTGAAGACACAAGAGAAGTAGAGGGTGAAGTAACATGAGTTTCAGTAAGAGTTGTATCTTCAACATTGGAGATCTCATGTGCTTCATTGGCTCTGGAAGAAAGTTCTTCAATGGGTGCTTGTCCAGAGACTGCTTCTTCTTCAAAGATGTCTTCAAATAAGTGAGTCAACTCGGATTCATTGGGTTTGCATAATGATGAATCAGAGGCTCCTTTTGATAGCCCGAGTTCTGAACTGTTGTGTCTAGAAGTCATCAGTGATGAATCATCAAAGGACACATTGATGCTTTCTATGACGATCTTTGTCCTTCTGATGAACACTCTGTAGGCCTTAGTAGTTTGTGAGTATCCCAAAAATATGCCTTCATCAGCCTTCTTGTCGAACTTGCCAAGATATTCCCTGTCATTGAGTGCAAAGCATTTGCACCCATAGACATGGAAATATTTGACAATTGGACGTCGTAGGTTGATAAGTTCATATGGAGTCTTCTACTTCCTCTTGTTGATGATATAATGGTTCTGGGTGAAGCATGCAGTGGAAATTGCTTCGGCCCAGAAGGAGATTGGTAGCTCAGATGAAGCAAGCATGGTCCTTGCTGCTTCCACTAGGGTTCTGTTCCTTCGCTCAACTACTCCATTTTGCTGTGGAGTTCTGGCTGATGAAAAGTTTTGAGAGATACCTTCACTGATGAAATATTCATCAATTTTGGTATTCTTGAATTCTGTTCCATTGTTGCTTCTAACTTTGATGAGTTTGCATTGAAGAAGGACTTGAAGCTTTTTCATTACCGCGATGAGAAGGTCAGGAACGTCTGATTTCTTCTTGACAAATTCAACCCATGTGTATCTTGAGTATTCATCAATAAGTACAAGGAAGTACTTCTTTCCAAAGAGGCTTTGAGTGGAGATTGACCCACAGAGGTTGATGTGGATCATAACCAAGGGCTTAGAGCAAGAGGTGTCTGACTTGGTTCTGTGAGAAACTCGTTTTAGCTTCCCCATCTCATATGCTGAGCATAGATGATCTTTTTCGAAGTTGAGATCAGGAATTCCTTTAACCAGCTTCTGTTTGGCTAACTTTTTCAGGATATCAAAGTTTGGATGTGAGAATGTTTGATGCCATAGCCAATTTTCATCACTCCTATGAGATACAAGGCAGAGAGTGTCTTGACCCACAAAAGAATGAAAGTCCAGAAGATAGAGATTTCCTTCTCTCTTCGCCTTGATGATGGTTTGGCCGGGCTTTGTTTCAATGATGCAGATACCTTTGCGAAATCTAACTACAAGACCCTTGTCGCATAACTGGGTTATACTTAGTAAATTATGCTTCAAGCCTTCAACATAAGCCACTTTAGCGATTAAGATGATGGTTTTGATGAGAGTGTCATATCCCTTGATTGTCCCCTTGCTGTTGTCTCCAAAAGTAACAGAGCCTCCAGATTTTTCGATGAAGGAGGACATATGACTTTTATCACCAGTCATGTGCCTGAAGCAACCTGAATCCATATACCATGGTTGCACATGCTGGTCCTGCAATACAAATTAAGGGGTTTTAGTTACCCCCATTTTATAATGGGTCCATGTTTGTTAGTCGGGGATTTGACATTTTTCTTTTCATTAGCCCTCTTGGAGTTGGGCTGATTTCTGTTACCCTTAGCCTTTGCAGGCTTGGGTTTATTTCCATTGCCCTTGGCCTTTGCAGACTTGGGCTTGTTCATATTTTCTTGAGATTTAACATTTTTATATTGATAAACATGCTCAGAAAATATGCATCGATGGTTTAACATGTGATTCCTCAAGTTTTGCAAAAGAGTCAAACACTGACAGTTAGTAGTTTTTGAACAAGGGTATTTAACTGATTTCTTTTTATTCGATGGAAAAGAAGTAAAAGCAGAAGGTGAAGATTCTGTCATAGCATTGGTTGTTTTTACAAACTTCCTATCTAGTGTAGACTTTTTATTTGAAGGGGCAGGTGTGAGTTTTACTTCTTTCCTAAGGTGAGGCTTCTTCCCTTTAGCTGAAGGAGAAGAAAAATGTAGGTTAGAATTTTCAGAGGCAGGCCACTTCAGTTTCTGTTCACGAGTAACCTTAATAAATTTAGATTGAGGGGTCGGTCCTTGTGAAGTATCTTTGGCAGACTTGATGTTTCTCAACTTTCCTTTTCCTCTGTTTGAAGAATTCATAGCTTCTGGAATTTCATATTTCATTGGGGTTTTTGAAGTTTGAGGTTTTTTATCCACAATGATCTCTGGTGATTCACATATTATTTCTTTTTCAGAGTCAGGATCAAGAAAGTCTCTTGCAGATTTCTTAAAGTCAAAATTTTCATGGATGTTTTTGGTAGCGAGGGGTTCTAAGGTTGATGGTTCAGAAGAGTCTTTGGGAGTTCCATCGCTTCTGATTTCTCAGATTAATTTTCAATGTTACTTGAATTATTCATTGATCCATCAGATGATGGTTCCTTACTAAGTCTTAAAGTCTTACTTGAATTATTCATTAATTTTCAATACCCCTATAATTAGTTAATCTATACTATCTTATAAAACAAATTTAGCAAAAGTCTTAAAGTCTTAAAATACTAAATGACCAAGATACCCTTATCTATATTATCTCACTTTTTTACCTCATTCTCTCCTCACATACACTCACCTCCTCACATACACTCACCCTCTCACATTAAACCGGTTTTTTTAAAATTATAATTTTAAATTTATACTTTATACCCCTGTAATTAGTTAATTAATTTATTTTACGTCCTTTACTTTTAAATATTTCATTTTAAATCTTTATCAAATTAACATACATAATCGTATATCAATTAAAACATATTTAAAAAATACATTTTTATTTTAACAAGTTACACCATTATAATTATCTCGTTAATACCTTCGAAATGAGTCCAATATTGAATARTTTTTGACTTAATTATATTATTATATATTATATATACTGTGAAAAAATATTTTTAATATTTATGATTTATACTTTTATAGTTATTTATTTATATATATACTATATATTTTGTGGTTAGGCTGTCCAAATTGCACTGTATAATATGTTCTGAATTAATATGTTYTTGGGTTTTTTTGAAATATATATATACATGTATTAATTCAACCTTAATATGAGTTTCTGGACAAAAAAGTGGGTAAGCAGTTGAAATTTTCATTCTAAAACCCATCTTTTTTKATCTTTTCATGGCTTATGATTTGTCAAATTTGTAGTTTTMTTTATTGGTTTTGAGTGTTTATCTTAAAACTCAAGTTTCWTGGTTCTTTGCACTTGGTGTAAATCGAACACATTTGTGGAGTCGTTTAAATATGTTGGATTTTAAACTGTCATACAATTTTTTTCATCGATAGTATGTGATTGAAACCATAATTCTTATTTATTCAAATTGTATTAATATGTAAAGACCAAGTGTAACCTATATCATCGTTAAATCTTATCTTATAAAATCAGTGGAACTTCAAAATCGTTAAAATTCATGGCTCCCGCCGCATTGCGCGGGTAGACAACTAGTCAACTTATTATAAGTCAGAAATGTTTAACTTCTTCAAAAACTCCTTATTACCGGTTTGACACTGATATAAGTTGTTTATCCAAACACTTAAAAGTGTTTATTACCAATGTGACACCATAATAAATGAATAAGTTGTTTTTATAAGCAATCCCGTTAAAAATTAATGTTTGAGATTGCTTATAAAAATAACTTATTGACTTATTTCAGTGTGACACTGATAATAATCACTTTTGAGTATTTAGATAAACAACTTATACCGGTACCAAACCGATAATAAAAAAAAATTTAAAAAAATTAAAACCTTCTAACTTATAATAAATTGATAAATATTTTTATAAAAAAACATAAATTATTTCAAATAACCGATACCAAAACACCCCGTGACAACTCTAAAATAAAAAAGTTCAACCGGAAAAGTTTCTATTTTAATATCATCGCCTTAGTTTGTTTTTTTCTCCGTTTCCTCTCCCTTCCCTCCTCCTTTTCTCCTTCCCTTCCGTCCCTTACCCATCGATTGAGATTCTTCTTCTTCTTCAATTTCTTCTCAACATGACGCCATCATCGACAACGACACCGCCACCGCCACCGCCACCAACCACCGCCTCCGAAATCCGCCACTCGATCCGTCCTTGGTTTGACGACTTCCTCTCCTTATCTTCCCTCTCTCTCCCAATCTCCTTTCCCCAACTCTCCCTCCGTATCCAGAAAAACCTCTACGCCTTCCGCGCCAACTACCTCATCGTCTCAATAATCATCTTCTTATTAACCCTATTTTCCCACCCAATCACCTTAATCTCCTTCCTCATCATCGTTATCGCTTGGATTTACCTTGTTTTTGCTAGGGATGAGCCTTTGGTTGTTTTCGATTTTGAAGTCGGCGGTCGGCTGGTTGTGATCTTGTTATCCGTGGTTACTGTCGTTGCCCTAGCTGCCACCAGTGTTTGGTGGAACATTTTTGTGTCGGCCTTGATCTCGGCACTTGTTGTTTTGTTACACGCGATTTTGAGGACTCCGGATGATGCTGACGACATGGAATCACCATATGGGGCGTTGCTATCAGTTGTGGATGAAGATGGGCCTGCACGAGGACCATATACGCTGGTGTGATTGGATGCCCATGAGGTTAGTAATTGGGGATTCTTAGAAAGATTTGTAGCTGCTTGTAGATTGATTGATATTCTTTAGCAAAAGTTTTGGTCTAGTTAGTGTCTATGCCATTGCTATATAAGATTTCATCGTTTACTGTTTTAGTTTTATAAATGAATGAATGATTGATTGCTGTTTGGTTGGTTTTCCCATAAGCTCCATATGGTATGAATAAGTTTTTGTTTGGGAGGGTTTTCTCATGGGTGGAATTAGCATGATTTGTAATTGGGATGGACTGGTTGAAAAAAACTTGAGCTTTTTCTAAAAGCTTACCGATAAGCCACTTTCTATATCATTAAGCCACTATCAAGCAGTAATGTATAGCTGTTCTAATAAGCTGCGAGTCTTAATTAAACTGCTAACAAATAGACCCTTGGTTATCCATGGAGGGGATAAATATGGCAATTAAATTGAACAAGTGTAGTTAATTAAAGAAGTATATTGTGTTTTTGCTTATAGCTTTTAGTAGGTGTGTTAGTAAGATCTAAAACTGTACACAGGAGAGCAAGAAGAACATGAATGAATATATTTGTATTGGTTTGGCTGAATGTTGTACTACATTGCATCAATCAAATGCACAACATTTTTTGTGTCAATTAAGTTGTTCTTGAAATGAGTCTAACATTTTTTGTGTCAACATTTGCAATCAAAAGAATGAGATAATACAAAAAAGACAAGTCTCCATATTTCTTTTCTTTTTTACATCCATTATATCACAACAAAACCTTAAATCATTCATATTAAGTGGCATGGTTGATGTACTTCCTCCTCTCTGCTTATTTAGCTCATCTATTACGTTTTACGATTCATCGTTTTACTGTTGTTTTACGATACCATGTCATCATATTTTGTTTTGTCACAATCATTGAAGGTATTCTCAGAATAACTCAAATTTCATGAGCTAAGGATATATATCTATATATATATATATATATATAGAGAGAGAGAGAGAGAGAGAGAGAGAGGGATGGTAATCAAATGAAAACCATAAAAATGTTGAAAACCATGAGAACCAATCTCAACCATAATCAAATATCCAGAAGGGCAATCTTGTAAGTTCCAATTCTTATTTAATCGGGCATTTACAATCTCGTATTTATCTCGATTATTTTCTTCAATTATCTATTTCAAATCATCATTTTTTATTTATTTTGCTTAATCATATTACAATATTAACAAAGCAAGTTTGATTTGCAAGGTTTTTTTTTATTTTTTTATTTTGCATTCAAGATTCATTCATCTGTTGTAAAAACACATCAATGAAGAATCGAACTTGAAATTCTATGGAACCCGACCTTGATGTGATACTGAAGATCAACATGGATTTGAAGATTATGAAGCATGAAAATCTCCAGAAGATATTTGAAGTCGTTTCATTTTTCTTTAATTTCATATATGTTGTTCTTTTACTAATCTTGTCTTCAATTGAGGTACAGTTCCCCAATTTATTAGCATAATGGAGATAGAATGCAATATCGTGTTATGTTCAGAGGACGATGTTATGTGGTTTAGATGTCAGCACCAGATCCAGATGCAACGAGGTTGCATAGTATGAAACATCATTATGATACATAAAACTCCATTATAAGCATTTACGGTAAGAGTCTACACTCTCGTTTACTTTACCGAGTAAGATTTTAGTTAATCAAAATAACAATAAGTTATCCGGTAAGCGCTAACTGAGCAACTTATCAGGTAAAGGATTCTCAATCATTGTCATCCCTCTTACCGGGTAAGGTAAGTGACTTGATAAGTACTTACTAGCTAATTGTTTGATAAGTAACCTCTAAATTAAAATCTCCTACATCTGAATCTGATGTTGTTAGGGTAACGTTTTGATCCATTCAAGTTGTGGAATGGGACCCATGGACACCAACAACATCAATCAAAATTCTGGAAATTTGCTGCTTTTATCCTAAACAATCATACCAGCCACCTATTATCAGATTATCCATTCTCCAAAGAAAATCAAGCAATGAGCCCATGAGCTTTTCAACATTAACCTACCATGCAATCATCAACTGCAAACAAAATTACAAAAACCACAATATATGCAACTCCAAACGACAGAAAGCGAGCATACGACAAGAACGGGACAAGTAAACCATTGCTTAGTGTCATTGATCTCAATGACTAGAGAAGCAGAACCACAAAGAAGCTCCTACAACACCATCAATGACTAGAAAAGCATAACACAAAGCAGCTCTTGCAACACCATCCACCAACAAATATTTTCTTTATTTTCATACCATACGCAAAGTAAAACATACTCGAAAACTTTGAGATGAAAAGTTAAATTCACATGATTTCAAAACATCAACCAATAGGCTAATCCAAACAATTTAACACCATGAAACCCAAGTGATTTAACATTAGGCTGTATCATAGTTCACATCATGAAACCCAAATAGTTGAACATCAAGTTATGGTGAAGGGTGGTGCCCGATTGGTTTGAGTTTGGGCTGTTAGGACTAAAATAATCCTAAGTATTTGAAAGTTTTATAAAGTCAATTATTTTGTATTGTATTGTAATATCATTGTAATGGGGCTTAAGGGTATTGAGCTTTCAATGTAAATGTCACCTATAAATAGGTGACATGGGCTTAGAATTAGAGTCAATTAAGTAGTTCATTATTCTACATTCCAATGAGAGTCGATTAGAAATCTGAGGGAGCTTTGTATTTTTGTTCATGTTAAATAAGAGATTGGCCAGTTTCATCATCATGTTCTTCAATCTTATTTCTTAATCTCATCTATATTCTTGATTTGCTGTTAGATCTGGGATTCATAATTGGTATCAGAGCAGAATCGATTCATCCTAATCGTTACGATCATTCAATCTATAACAAATTCAAGTTATATTCTGTTTTGTTCAATGGAATAGTACTCATGAACTCACAGCTTCCTTTTCGACTATTTTGAGCTTAATTTTATCAATTCACCATTGATTTCACTGTTTTTATCAAATTCCTTTCAAAGCAATTACTTATTGGTGGATTCGAACTTATTTTAATCATCAAATTGGAGTTTATTTGATGAATTTTGATTAATTTTATGATTTTAGTCGAACTATATACTTTGATACCGTCAGGTTTGACTTCATCGCTCAATGAATATTCTTGATGAGTGATAAGGGGATTTCATCGCCCATTGAAGATTTGAAGCTAGATTGAGTGAAGTAAGAGTGTTCATCAGCCAGAATGTGATTGTTGGTGACTTGGCTTTGTAAACTGTTGTTGAGCAATAACCTTTTGGACTTGGATATATTTTTGTAAGTTTTGAGAGATAACATTTGCTCATCGTCCAGGTCATGTGCCTTCAAGTTGGTATCAGTTCAATGTTATGAGCGATAAGGGTCCTCATCGCCCAATAGACCAGGCGATGAAGAGTTGCTTGGTAGGCAATGACCTTTCCTTAACAGTTTGTTGTGTTATTTAATCATTTGAGCGATAATGTTGCCCGATAACCCTCTCATTTGCAAAAGCTTCAAGTGATGACCTCTTCTTTTTTTAGCGATAAAAGGAAGTTTGAAGTGTATCCGCCTAAGGGTTAGACAATAACATCGTTCACTGCCCAAGGTATGAGTGATAACCTTGCTCATCGGCCAAGGCATGGCGATATGCAAGAGTTAATGCCCTCTCCGCCTAAGGCATGGGCGATGTGATACCACAGTCTGTGCTCATCGCTTATCACCCGAGTACTTGTTCATTCGACTCTATGAGCTTATTAAGTGTGCTTAATGGATTTCTTTGCCCAGATCACCTTGTGCTTAATAATTAAGGTGGTATTTTATAATTTCTACCCTTAAGAGCATCAACAATAAGCTGTCAACTTTTGACTTTTTGGTCAACCTATTTGGAGTTTATTGATTAAAGCCGGATTTGAATAGATTTCAGAACTGTTTGATTGGTTTCTGTATTTGATTGGACTAGCCAGAGTTTGAGAATCTGCAATCGTTACTTTAGAGTTTTTCTACAAGAAGCTAGACCATTGAGTGCCTTTACTCATTTCTTTTGACCTGATCAAAGAGGTCTTGAAGGTTTTGCAATTAGTGTTTTCGAGGTTTTGGAAATTATCAGATTTTTGAGTGTTTTCAGTCATTCTTCTAACCTGTTCTATTAGAGGTTTGAAAGTGTACAATCATTATTATGATGTTATGGTGGTGATCTAGAGTTCTGCGCGCCTTTAATCACTCTTCTGGCTGAGATATTTGGATTTGATTATGGTTATTCAGTTATCTGAAAGTTTGAAGGAAATCGGCCTATTTGTCTGGCTGACTTGCTGTTCTTGAAGCTATGTGCTTAACACTAATTCTTCTCTCCGGGTCTATAAAGTTAGAGGTGTTTGCTTTGGTTCTTCAAGTCGATCTTGTTACCCCAATTTATGCGCTTACCAAGATCAAGTTCTAAGCTGCATGCTTATTCAACTCGTGATTCACTGAAATATTCTTTGTTATAAGACTGTTTGCACTGGAATGTAACGTAAGTCATACTATTTTCTATCCACAATAGTTGGATGAATTAGTTGCTTGTGGGCCATCATATATTCAATCTATTCACATCTCTATATAACTCATTCGTATATATGTTCAGTAACTATAAACATATATATGTAAATTGAAAAAATTAACTGAATGTGATGTATGTAAGAAATATAGATAAGTTGTATCAAATGGTTGATATGATGAAAAAAAAAATTATGAGTAGAGAAATAACATATTCAAGATTAAAAAATATGTTAATGTACCAAAGTATCAACCCAACCAACCCATACAGGTTGGGTTGGGTTGGGTTGCACTTTGATTTGGGTTGGGTTGAGTTAAGATTTTTCAAACCGCAAGCATTAGGTTGGGTTGTTCAAATGTCTTCAACCCGATCAACCCAACCCATGAGCACCCCTAGTTATAGTTGTACATTGTGCAATCAGTGATGTTGAACCCACATTGAATCTTATCTTAAAGTTGAAACTAAGAGTAAGAGCTATATTCAGAGGGGAACTTGAAGATTTCTTTCATGTCGGACACAACAAAGTTTTCTTAAAGAAATCAGGGGGGAGAAGACCTGAAGGTTTTAAAAGATGCTTACTTTATAAAAAATTGGGGGAAGATTGTTAGGACTAAAATAGTCCTAAGTATTTGAAAGTTTTATAAAGTCAATTACTTTGTATTATATTGTAATATCATTGTAATTGGGCTTAAGGCTATTGGTTTTTATTGTAAATGTCACCTACAAATAGGTGACATGGGCTTAGAATTAGTGGCAATTTAGTAGTTCATTATTCTACATTCCAATGAGAGTCGATTAGAGATTTGAGAGAGCTTTGTATTTCTGTTCATGTTAAATAAGAGATTGGCCTATTTCATCATCATGTTCTTCAATCTTATTTCTCAATCTCATCTATATTCTTGATTTGCTGTTAGATCTGGGATTCATAATAAAGACCTGAAGGTTTCAAGAGATGGTTACTTTATAAAACTTTGGGGGGAGATTGTTAGGACTAAAATAGTCCTAAGTATTTAAAAGTTTTGTAAAGTCAATTACCTTATATTGTATTGTAATATCATTGTAATTGGGCTTAAGTGTATTGGGCTTTCAATGCAAACGTTACCTATAAATAAGTGACATGGGCTTAGAATTAGAGTCAATTCAGTAGTTCATCATTCTACATTCCAATGAGAGTCGATTAGAGATCTGAGATAACTTTGTATTTTTGTTCATGTTTAATAAAAGATTGGCTAGTTTCATCATCATGTTCTTCAATCTTATTTCTCAATCTCATCTATATTCTTGATTTTTTGTTAGATCTGGGATTCATAATTGGTATCAGAGCAGGGGGAGAAGACCTGAAGGTTTCAAGAGATGCTTACTTTATAAAACTTTGGGGGGAGATTGTTAGGACTAAAATAGTCCTAAGTATTTGAAAGTTTTATAAGGTCAATTACTTTGTATTGTATTGTAATATCATTGTAATTGGGCTTAAGGGTATTGGACTTTCAATGTAAATGTCACATATAAATAGGTAACATGGGCTTAGAATTAGAGTCAATTCAGTAGTTCATTATTTTACATTAAGAGATTGGTCAGTTTTATCATCATGTTCTTCAATCTTATTTCTCAATCTCATCTATATTCTTGATTTGCTGTTAGATCTGGGATTCATATGGGCTCCAAAGGTCAAAAGTGTCAGGAGGTCCTAGGTTCGAGTCCTAGGAGGAATAAAAATCCTCTTGTAGCCATGGAGGTTCAAATGCGGTGATCGCGGATGGTTGCCTTGTGATCAGTCGGTTCGCATAGCGGGTCATATATCCAGGTTAATAGAAAAACGTTATGGTGATTGGTGAAGAAACGTGTAAGAAGGGAAGTTAAGAAGCATAAGAAGAGATGTGAACCCCCTAATTCACTTTTAATATCATGTCCACTCATGAATTGTGCTTTAGAAGGAAATTGATGTGGTGCATCTCGATACACCTCATTAATGTTGACATTCAATTAGGATTGATCCAAGGGTGGAGATCTCTTCTTACGCTTCTTATCATAGCTTCCTTTCTCACAAGAGGCCAACCTTTAAGATTATATCCTATTTCACACCATGAAATTTAAATAATTTAACATTAGGCTATGTTCTACTTCACACCATGAAACCTAAATAATTTAACATTAGACTATATCTTATTTCATACCAAGAAACACAAATCATTCAACAACTCTCAAATATGGTTATTTCACACTATGAAATCCAAATGATTTCATTATTATTAACATATCAAGTATATTGTTTCATGCTATGAAATAGTACACAACATCACATAGAGCATGTTATAAGTTGTTTCAAAGTGAAAAATAGCCCATACCTTTCAATTAACAATCAACAATCATGTGTTATATTATGAATATTTGGACATTGTGAAAGCTATAGAACCTTTGAGATGACTATAAGCATGTGGTGGTTGTATGTAACAAATCAATGTTAGTGTTTCATGATATGAAACATTATAGTACATCACAAAATCTCTTAAATGTTGATTCATAATGAGATACAAACCATACATTTCAATTAGCAATGCAACTTTGTTGTATCATAGTATGAATCAAGTCAATATATAGAAATATCATAATTTATAACACAACACTCTCAAGACAGGATAATTCTCATTGTTAAAACTGTATTGATTTTTAATCTTAGAGCATCGTTAAATACTGTTATCCATAATATGAAATGAAGATTGAAATCATTGTAAAACTAAAAATATAGCGACTACCTTCTTCAATCTTCTTTTCAACAGTTTTGACAACTTGTTGCCCTATTTCAACCCCTCTTCATCTTCATCAATAAGTAGATCATCAAAGGTGTTTATGAACTTGTTGCCCTGTTTCATCTTCTCGCTCTCGCTTCTACATTCCAATGTTGATGAAAATTTGGAGGTTAAAATTTGTTGATCCTCTCTATCAGTGATTTGATAATAATCCCTTTTCATTTATACGTTGTATTTATGTTTCTGTCTTTTCAGTTCCAGCGACCTTCACTSAGTATGTTTAGTGATCGCTGAAGAACTTGCATTGTAAATCTATCAGAGACAGGAATACTTCAAGAAGACAACACTCACACCAAAGAACCTTCAGCAAACGTCGAAGACTGAAACTGAAGATTAGAGACTGACGAGTATGTGATCTGAAGCGGTATTCAGTGATTACAAGTCTGTCTAC